TGTATATGTATATGTTAAGTTGTTAATATGCTGTCGAGTCAGTTCCAACTCTTATAGGGTTTCCAAGGAGCAGCTAGTGAGTTTGAGTGACCGACCTTGAGTTCAAACTGATCTTACAATCAGTAAGATATATTTATCTTACATATATTTAGACTAAACTTGATTTTCAAAAAACATTTAATAAGTAAAAGAAATGCCTCATCAGTCTACAAGGGTAAATAAAAAAGTATTGGTATTAGGTTTCCAGTTGTATTTGTACAGGTTTTTTTAAAGACAAAAAACATGTATCAACATGTCTCTGAGATCACTGGATGGCTGTAGACAAGTTCTCTCAATAATACACTTGTCTTGGTCTTGTTAGTGTGCCTTCAAAGGTAGATACAGAAAAAATACTAACTTCTCAGGAGTTTTACTGGATCAGTTAAATTCAAGGCTGAGAGGTCAGCTCAGAAGGTTATGGCAACTATTTTTTGGATTCTCAAGGGATCATCTTGCTAGATTTTCTTGAAGGACACAGGACAATCATGGGGGCTTATTAAGAAGAAATTTAAAGAAAAATTGAAAACTGCATTGGTGAGAAAAAGGCCAGAAAAGTTGTGTCAAAGATTCCCCACCCCCTTCACCCCCGCATCATAGTAATGCACCTGTTCATTCTTTGTTGGTAGCAAGGGTTTTCCTAGGAGAATCTCATTGGGAAAGCTTACCCCATGTACCCTACAGCTCAGATTTTGTCCCTTTGGATTTCTTTTGTTCCTCAAATTCAAAGAACATTAAAAGCAACATGATTTGAGTCCCTCAAGGATACCCAACTGCTGTTCGGATGTGGTGGACATTGAAGAAGGCAGAATTCCTCAGGGAAGGGTTGTTGTTGTTGTTGTTCAGTGCCATCATCAGTTCTGGCTCATAGCAACCCTGTATAGGGTTTCCAAGGAGTGGTGGTGAGCTTGAACTGCCGACCTTGTGGTTTAAATGACCTTGCAGTCCAACACATTAACCCACAGCACTACACCAGGACTAGAAATACTGCCTTCAGAAGGATTTGGAGCTAGATAGAAGCTACGTCAACAAACATTAGCTTCATGTGGTGATATTTTAATAAATGTTTCTATGATTTTTGTAGCAGTATTTTTTTGACACCACCACTTATCTGTCAGTTTGCTGCACTGTGGTGGCTTATGTGTGGCTGTGATGCTGGAAGCTATACCAATAATACTTTAAATGCCAGAAGGGTAACCCATGGTGGTGAGGTTTCAACGGAGCTTCCAAAGACAGGAAGAAAAGGTGGACTACTTCTGAATGGTTGTTGTTAAGTACCGTGGAGTTGGTTCTGACTCATAGTGACCCTGAACAGGGTTTCCGAGGTTGCAAATCTTTACAGGAGCAGAAAGTCTCATCTTTCTCCTGTGGAACAGCTGGTAGTTTCGAACTGCCAACCTTGAGGTTAGCAGCCCGATTCGTAACCACTACGCTACCAGAGCTCTGAATGGTTAGCCTTGGCAAACCTTTGTTTAGGAGCAGAACATTGTCATATATTGTGCTGGAAGATAGAAACATCATAAAAATAGCAGCAAAACATTGTCAGATATAGTATCAGAATATTAGTGCCTCAAGTTGGAAGGCACTTAAAATATGACTAGGGAAGAGCTGCCTCCTCCAAGTACATTGACCTTGATGATGTGGCTGGAGTTAATCTTTCCCAATCTTAATTTGCTGATGTGGCACAACTCTGGATGAGAAAAAGCAGCTGCAAACATGCATCAATAATTGGGATGTAGAACATACAAAGCATGAAACTAGGAAAATTGGAACTTGTCAAAAAATGAAATGGAACAGATGGATATACACAGTATTAACAAGTTGAAGTGAACTGGTATTGGCCATTTAAAATCAGACACTCATATAATTTACTATGCAAGGAAAGATAAATTCAAGAGGAATGGTGTAGCATTCATGATAAAAAATAACATTTCAAGATCTGTCTTGAAATACAATGCTGCCTGTGATAGGATAATATCCATAAGCCTACAAAGAAGATCAGTTAATTCTACTATTATTCAAATTTATGAACCACCCACTAAAGCCAATGCTTATGAAATTGAAGAATTCA